ATCAAGTAATTTACATGCCTTAAAAATGTTCACAAAGCAAACATATAGAGAAGAAAATATTTAAGTAAACGCTTAATAATATTTTCCGTGTGTCATAAGATAAAACAGTATTGAAAAACATTTAACACTACGTCAGTACTCTGAATAATTTTAGCAATAGCGCTTGGAATCCCGACTTTAATGTTAAGTTTTTATATGTAATGTTGTGTTTTTGCTTACAAAAACGTAAGGATCGGTATATCTATGGCTATTGGGCTATACAGAGTACCAGTGCTGCATACTTGTATATCCTAAACTTAAAGACTATCCGACAAGCTTGCGTAAAAATTTCTCCCTGAGAAAAAAGATAGAGCGTGTTGCTCTAACTAGCAATCATAATACAAAGTACTGTGCTCTAACTAACATCTTTTTTCTCTGTTCTGTGTCATTTGTTTTTGCATATATTGCTATACTATCTTTGAATCATGATGTCACTCTTCAGGCACTAAGGTTAACTCCTATTTCTGTACCTTCAATTGATGTATTAAATGGAAAAAATCTAAACCCTATAGCATATTTCTTAGACTAAAAATTACAGATTAATATTTGTTCACCCCTTTATTTTATAATATCAAATGCCAAATTACGCCTTAATTATAAGAAATAAAGTATTATACGTTCAAAAGTTATAATGAGCAAGGATACGAGAAAATCCTAATTTCACGAGCTATTTTAACAAGCGAAGTTTTAATTACGTATATCTTAATAATCTCGTACTTATAAGTTTTAATTAATTTGAAGTTTAAAAATTAAATAATATAAAACGCTGTAAATCAAAATACTCTTTTGTAATAACTAAAATGTAATTAAAAAAAAAAATATGAAACAGAAAGTAAAACGTAGAAATTATACCTTTACTTGTATAGAAGCTGGAATCGAATAAGTTACATAATAAGAGATAATGGTAAGGTCGATGATATAGGCCTAAACATGCCGATTTTCAGCAATATTTTCCAGACGAGCATATTTTTAAGCGCACATACAAAGTGTATTGTTCATGTTGGTCAAAGGCAGGACCTCAGAATGAGAATCACAACTGTAACACTGAATATAAGGTATTTTATTTAAATAACAATGCAATGTTTAAACTATCATGGACGCAATATTTTACCAATGTCGGTTCAACTTGTGTTTGAAACTAAGATAACTTGGCTCTTATACGAAGTATCAAGAGAAAACTTCAGCATCGACGTAGTTGGATTTCAAAACAAAAGTTTGCTGTGTTTTACTAAACTAAAAGCAGGTGCGAACAGCATACAACTTATTATAGGGTTTTGTTAAGAACGTAAAGATATATTTAGAAAGAGAGTAGGTTTTTTAAGATTAACGTACTGCCTTTGTTTACTTTGTACTGCCATTTATGCAATAAGTATGTATAAGTATGCTTATAAATGGGAACTATAAACAGTAAGATAAATAACGGGTGTCTCAGTAAGAGTGCACTTTTTCATTTTTAAATAAAGACAAGTATTTTATGGTAGAGTTCTGATATTTTTATTGTTTTGTAAAGAAGACATGTTCCGATTAAAGTATGGAATAAAATATCCGGCAAATGACCTCCACGGCTCCGATGACAGGCCATTACACTTTTCATTAAATTTTCCATGACTTTTGCATAGAGATGTGGCTGTATCTCACCGATGACGCGTTGGATTTCCGATTTGAGCTCAGGTATGGTTTCAGGTTTATTCGCATAAACTCGAGATTTCACAAAACCCCAAAGAAAAAATCGCACGGCGTTAAATCGTACGATCTTGGTGGCCAGTTGACATCAGAATTTCGTGAGATAATGTGTTCAGTTCATCGGAGAAAATTATATATTAAATTATTATATAAATTCGCTCGATTACTCATTGAGCATATTGCCGGTGCTTTCCTTGGTCTGCTGGTTTGAGCTCCTGAGTTAACTGAATCTTGTACGCATGAAGGTGGAGGTCTTTAGTCAAAATTTGCTGCGTCACTCTCGATTACAGCAGCAATGTTTTCAAGGGACCGACCGGTACATTGACGCAATGGATTCTTATTATCCATAATTGGCCCAGTTTCTTCAAATTTTTTGACCACTCTTCGAATAGTTGACAGTTGACACATAAGGTGCACTTTCTCGGTTGAAAATTTGGTGAAGTTTGCGAGTTTTCAGCGTTACTTTTGTAATGAGTTTTCACAATTATAACGTTCTTTCAAAAAACGCTCCATTTTTAATAATCGGAATAAACAGAGGTGACAGCTGTCAAATTTCAGAGTTGCCACTTGCAGGAAAACAAAAATATTGCAATTTTAAAAAGTGCACTCTTACTGAGACACCCTATATAATGAATAGGTCTACCAAGTGTTTGACTAAGTATGAAATACTAATAGAAAATACAACCGCGTCATAATTTCTAAGAAATGTTGACAAATTTTTGACGCAGAGAAGCAAGAAAGCAGCGTCTCCAGTGGTCGGGCCTAAATATTTATACAAATGTTTGACCCCATAATATCGAAATAATCGAGAAATATCTTGTGAAACTCATGAAGTGCACAGTAAACAAGTGCGTACATAATGTACGTAAATGAGCCTCAAAATTTTACCCTCAAAATGATTCCGTAACAAGAAACGTTATTAAAGAAAATTGAATATAACTACCTCGGTCATTTTACGATTATTACGAGCAATTTTCCTGTTGTTCACAGAAAAATACAAGACGGTTTTGGGAAAACTGAACAAAAAGGGCTTCGGAGTATTTTGAATGGATCTATTATTATAGATTAAGTATTATGGTACTCGGATAAGGATGCCCATAAATTTAATCATTTTAGGGCTATTAACATAATTTTTATCTTTTATTTGAATAATAATACGCATTGTGTATTTTAGACATCCAATTGTAAATTAATTATTAAAGACAATTGTATACTCAAGTAAAGCGTATATAGGTATGACATATTCATATTTTAGTAAATATTCATAACTTCGTTCTTAAGTGTATAATGAGTACATTTTTGAGGGCCTCATAGCCTAGCGGTCTTATTAAGTGGCAGCTAGGTGAGGGGTACCTGGTTCGATTCCCGGTTCGAGGGCAAGTTTTAATTTAATTTAAATTTGTTCTCGGCCTTTGGGAGGGTTGTGCGGTACCGGGCGAGTGCTTAAACCGTACATGGAGGACACGGTCGAATTTCTAAGGCAAGCACGAATTATAAAAATCTTACACTTGACGCTGACTAATGCACAAACCGTGCCAGAGCCATAAAAAAAGTGTATAATGATTAACAGATCTATGGAAATCGTCAACGTGAAGTAAGATGTTTATGTTCAAAAAATTTGCATGATATGTGACTTTCAAACAATATAAGGTACCTACGTGCTCCGTCTGTTCATCGTCCTTCCTATCCATCGTCCTTCCATACAATATGTACAACTCATTTAATGAGTATAAACGGCACTTTATTTTTTTACAACTAATACAATAATTGGTGAGCGCCACATATTTGCATATCTGAAGTTCCGTAGCCAATGAGAAAGCAGATACATTTCTGAATGTTAGTCTTATTTTCTTACGAAATGTCGTGTATGTAGTACTTGCGAGTACTTCACTGTATATATAATATTTAATTGCTTTTTTTGATCAGCTAGTTACAGTAATTTCCTTCATTGTATTGGCGTTGAATAAACATGTCAAAACCATGTCATGTCAATACTTAAGTGGTGTGCCAAAGCTTCATTTATTATTTATATCTAAATATTGTGGGTTACGTCTTAGTTGGATTTCAACTTGTAATCCCTTAATTTAGTGCGGTCCCTAGGGTTTACTCTAATCTAGGATTTTGCATTATTCATATATGATACAAACTTTAACGCCATGATTCTAGATAGATGGATTCGTAAAGTGGCCGATGTATTAACTTCAGTTTTATATAAGCTAGTATCGTATATTTTATTTGGTTTTTAAATATTACGAATATAAATATATTATAACTTATAACACGCCAGCAGAGTACATTTTATGTAAACAGTATGTGTATTGATACATTTGTGTATTGTTTAACTAAGGCTCAAATATTTTGAAACTATATTTTTCAATACAGTTCTACTATTTTTTCGGAAGAACAATTAAAGACGTCGTGCATGAACGATGACATGGTTTGACATTGATAGGTGGGTCATTCTTCTTTTTAACCTACAATAAGTTGTCTCCACCAATCAGTGAGAAAATAATTAAGGAAATTACTATTACTTTTTTCTTAATTGTATTTCAACATGCACTGTACTATATGCATAATGGCTATGCACGATCAAATAACAAATATATTGATTAGTTTAATTGTAAAAGTACGTGACAAAGTAGTAAATCCGCGTGACAGAAGTGTATCTCATACAAATTCCCTGTGTCTCCCTCTCCCGCTACCTCATCTTGCGTTTAATCCATAATATTACGAAAAAATTATATGATGACACATAAAAATATATTATAACTCTTAAATATATTACCTATCATGCAATAGCAACCATTATTTTTTATCACTTTTAATAAAATATTTAAAAAATATCAAATACTTGTCTCCTACTGCCTGGTGTTTTATTTTGTAAATTCTGTCACGTGGGTTGTCCTTCGAAATACGTGTTTGTGCCGCTCGTCTTTGTGGCCTGCGATTGAAGGTTTAGACCTCCTTCCCCCCTTGGTACACTTTCCCCTCTGAGATCAAAAGTCAACGCGTCAATCGCTCGAAAGCTGTGACAGAAGGTGTGTAGGTTTATTCGGCTACCGCTTCGTCACGTAAGTAGTGGATTCAAAATAAAATTATTATTGTTACTTTTTGTTGTCTACTCTTACGTTATAAGAAATATTTTGTTGTCAAGGTGTAAATTATAAATTCTATGTCAGCTTTTAAATGTTATCGACTTAGCAACAAGTTTTTACCCCTACGTCACAAGGCAACTCTGTCACACTTTTACCTAATGGCAAACAATTTTTTCGAAGATTATGGGTTTCGCCAAATATCCTGGAACATCTTTGAATCAGGGCATGCTCAAGGAGCTTCTGATGGTTGGAGGGACAATGAAACGCCAAGGTGATGCCATAGTAGCTAGAGGAAACTATATTGCAGATGTTCCAATTCTTATCCGCTTTCAAGATGCCAACAAATTTAAACGGTTCATTTTGACAGAAGAAGACTTAGAAAAGGTTGCAACAACGATTCCAAATAATATTGTGCCCCTGAAAGAAACAGAGCAAGGTCACCAAATGTTCACGGAAACTCGTCTTAAACCATAGGGTATTTAGTTGTTGCTGTAAAAAATTCTGTTCTTACCACGTTGTTGTCTTATTCTAAAACTTATCAGCCTCTGCCTATATATATACATACTTTGGGCGTGTTCTTATCTAACGAAAAAGAAGACGATATAATTCATGATGTGGAAGATTTCATGCTTACTGATATTATGAACACAATTAAAATGCCCCGAAAAAGATTTGCGATATTATGTATACATAATCCAGCCCAGATGAATCAACCAATGAAGATCAGCCTTTCGCCACGCTTAAAACGAAAAATCCAACTGATCAAACTGCTGTCTGCGGTACTTCTTACCAAACACCCCAGGCTCCGAATGTTAATAAAAAGGGAAGAGACAATATTTCTAGTTCGAAGAGCCACTATCAATATTCGAAAAATAAGACTGTCTATCAATGGCTTAATGATTATTTTATTTTATGTTTTTGGAAACGTTAATTTGAATCTAGACTTTATATACTTAAGACGAATGAGTAGTCATTTAATTTACTAAAATATGAATCTCTTATTCTAAAGGTTCTCAAATGTGATTTCACTAATTATCTAGGTTCGATCTCATGTTATTTTATATGACAATGTTGAAGACTGAAAAGATGTATAACAAAATAAATGATTTTAGAAAAACAAACCTGTTTTATACCAAAAAGCAGTCTGGTGTCCCCTAGGATATCAAACTCCGTCACGATGTTGTCTCCTGATAGGAATATCATTTTTGTCTTTTATATATTTTGTTATGACTAGTGCAGCATGGGAAAATTTATATTTATATTATTTGATTATATTACTATCTGTGAAATTGGTATTTATTTTTAAATGATAGTAAAAATTGATTTATAGCAAAAACTACATTTACATTAGCAGAAAATGTGACGGAGTGGTATTAGGGCATGAATAAAACATATTTTATACATACAAATGTATTATATTAATATGTTTTCTAAAGGCTCATTTAGTTAATTAATGTATTACAAAAGTACAAGTTATTTGACGAAGAGTATTCGATAGAATAAAATAAAAGATTTCGTGAAATATAAATTTTTTTGCCGAATCTATCTTTCAGGCCTAGATAATCGTACAAAAATCTGTAAACATCTCGGCAAACCACTTTTTCCAATAGAATAGAAATTCTGCTATCAGAATATATATATAAACTGACAGGAAAGCTTTATATTTATATTTTCTAAATTGAGATAAAGCTTTATCAAATTGTAGGTTTAAAAGAAGAACGACCCAGGTACACATTTATATTAATATTACAAACGAAATAATACTTAACCAAAGCTGTACCTAATTATAATTATTAAATATCATGTGTTTAAGTGTTACGACACCACAAATAACGACTCTTTTACATACTCAAATATTTTAGGAATTCAAAGCAAAAATCTACCTCTATATCACGTAAAACTCATAACTTTCTCTAAGTTTGTTATATGGGTGCTAAAATCCTTATATTTGTATAAACGAATCTACGAGTGGAATTCAATTTTGTACGTAGTTTTGCCACTTTTTTACGGTCAGTTACTCATCGGAATGCAATATTGCTGGTAGCTATTGCCATAATTCGTGTTGGAGCAACATTTTTTAAGCTCGCCGACGCGAAAATGTTTATTTTTTATCCGTTAATAGCCTATACGCACCGTACGGACGACCCAAAACGATATTAGAATAGTAAGCACAGCTATCATATAGGATATATAATATAGGAAGATAGTAGTTTTTTTAATAAGGTACCTAATTGGATTTTTTGTGTAATAAAAATTGATGTTCATATTAATACATACAACATTATTAACAAGTTCAGTAAGAAGTTAATGGATTATTATTTTTAAATGCCTATACCTAAGAGTAAATTATAATTCTTGTGACTTCTTATAAACAATAAAACATTGGAAGATTTTATTGTATAAATAGCCAAATACTGTAAAGTGTTAATTATTTTAAATTAATTATACTATAAAGTAAGCTTTTGCATACATTAAAATGCTTATTAACTCAACAATTTAACTAAAAGCTAATTTAACGACAGAGCATATTTCGTAGTCTCATTACAGTTTCACGTTTTAACTGAGATATCTTATACGTTTTATCTCCTACTTAGTCACGTAACCTACCAGCTATTAACCAAAATAAGGTTTTTAAACTGTCACTCGTGAGATTAGATTAATATTTTAGTAGCTCGTTAGAACGTTTACTTTCAGGAAATAATTTCAGGCAGGAAATTAGAAAATTTACCGCACTGCAAAGCTTTATTTGGCTTATGCAAATGTGACTACTACAGGGGCCTATTCTGTGTCCCGTTATGTTATTACAATATGCTAATCCTGTACATATTTTGAAATAAGCATGTGTCCCCAAAGAGCCACGTGCACATCTACTACGCGACCTTATGAAAATTAGGTAACATATATTAGAACCTTTGCATGCTTATGTTTATATAATATATTAGCTTACCATACCATTCAATTAAAAATTCTACTGATGTCTGTTCTCTGATCTTTTATCTTATCAAAAATTCCTAAGACGCATTATGATAACGCCTTATGGTTAAACTCTTTTTGGTGTGATATGCTTTTTATTTATTTAAATAAGTGTTCAAGCTGTACACTCCGATTTCCTTTCTATTCTGTTAATATAACAGCAGTCTAGTCTAGTAACAGTTTTTTTTATTATTATTAAATAAAACATTCATTATTATACTAGTAATAAGATTTTCGTTTTAATGTGATAGAATTAAGGGAAACCGAATAAATTTAAAAATCATTATTTAGGCTCAAATGTAACAAATCAGACATTAGCAAGCGCAAAAATAAAAGGAAATGACATTATTATTCAACTCATGCGCAGACACACTGTTGTAGATAGTTATCATTCAGGTTAATATGACTTTCCATATACGTAATGTAATGGGTAGTTAGTATTTTAAGACAGCATTATAACGTGGAAATGTTTGTACCTAGATATGATCACATAAAATTTTATTATCCTTTAATGCGTCATGACTCCTTGTTGCTAATCATTATTTTTATATCTTACGTGGTGCCAGGGTTAGATATCATGTGAGGTCCAGGCTAAACAAAATATAAATCACCGAAGATATTGTATTCCTAGCGTTTCATAATTTTAATATTTAATCTTATTTCATTGAATTAATAATATAAATAATTCGACAATTAACTTGACTTTCAATTCTACCCGATATTTTTTTTATCTATATGAAATAATCACAATATTAAAACTTCATTTTACAACAAAATTTTACTTTTGTTGAGAAGTAGTAAGAACAAGGTCTAAAACTCAAGTATTGATTCTAATAACACAGTCTGAAGTAATTCATTTTATTAAATTCCAATAAAACATCGGTTTGAAATTCTTACTTATGTTAAAATACATTTCTTAATCACAGTTTCCTTTCTTTTCAGGTCGGAAATTTTCTTCCCGATCACCGGCGCTAATGAAGCAATCTGCAAGCGGAATATTGAACTAGCAGCCACTCGAACCAACGTTTAAGTGCAATAAAATAACACTCCCAAGCGACCAAACCAAACAAAATTAACCCCTATATCGAACGCAAAAGGAACATAGTCCTCATAAACGAATACACAATCCAATGGCTCTGTGCGGAATTGGAAAGACAATCCAAGCGATATGTCAATTAAAACACAATCGGGACTGTAATCAATTTCGTGAGCCCAAGACGCGACTCCTTCGCGAGGTTAAACATCAGACCTGATTTAATTATTTTGAAAGAATAGAGTTAGTCAAACGGAGAAACCTGATGTATGGTACCAAAAGAAAAAAAGTAATCGACCCAGTCAGGGACTCGTATGGCGTCTCAAAATAACTCACACTATTCACGACCTAGCTTGGTTACTTTATCTTCGTATCTTCTCATACTTGTATCTTTAGTATTGCAAGCAGACTCGGCGTTCGCCTCATTCGATTTCAATTCAACTTTCTCAGGAGTCAATATTACCAATCCCAACTCGACGCTCAATTGGACTTTTTACGATAACAACGCGACGGTTGTGAAGCATCTCCATATAAAGCATTCGAAATATTCCACCCTCGTAACTGTGCTATTGGCAGCGATTTTTATGATAGTCATATTCGGAACAATAGTTGGAAATATTTTGGTTTGTGTCGCAGTTTGTTTAGTGAGAAAACTGAGACGACCTAGTAATTATTTAATCGTTTCGCTGGCAGTAAGCGATCTGTGTGTTGCGATTATGGTGATGCCAGTTGCGATGGTGTATGATCTAATGGGGTCATGGCCTTTCGGACCTGTCATATGTGACTTCTGGGTGTCGAGTGACGTTTTATCATGTGCGGCGAGCATATTGAACTTATGTATGATATCCGTGGATCGATATTATGCAATAACGAAGCCTTTAGAATATGGAGTTAAACGGACGCCGAGGAGAATGCTTTTCTGCGTTTTTATTGTTTGGATGAGTGCTGCGTTTATTTCCCTCCCACCAGTATTAATATTAGGTAATGAGAAATCAGACACGTCATGCTCAGTATCACAGAATCAGGGCTATCAAATTTATGCAACCTTTGGTTCGTTTTATTTACCCTTAACGGTTATGGTTGTGGTATACTACAAGATTTTTAGTGCTGCGAGAAAGATTGTAAAAGATGAAAGAAGAGCACAATCGCATTTAGAATCGCACTGCTATTTGGAGATAAATGTAAAAAATGGAGGTGCAGCCGAAGCTAAGCTTTTGGGAAATCAGCCTGAGAACCCTACAAGGGGATCCACTGCGAGTACGAATACTACTGTAAGTAACTAACTTCAAACCCTATAATAATCATGCAATAGTTGATGTTTACCGTTAACATTGGTACTTTTTCTGGGTTAATTCCCATAGAGAAATAAAAGTCTAGAATGATCTTACCCCAACAAAAATGATAAAACTAGCGTTTAATCGCTCGCAAAAAGTAACACTAGAAATAACCTAATAGAAACAAATTTGAATGATATATTTTGTTAGTTTTAGTAGATTTTGAACCCGTGAGGTTTAAAAGTTTTTATTGAATTTTTGTAAAAAAAGTAATCATTGTTCCTATCCACTAAAAACGTTGCGGTATCCCAAACAAAATGAATAGGTATACACACTATTAGATACATTGAGATTTTATGTATGGTTTAAAACCTACAACCTATTTAAATTTTTAAGTAAACCAAACGCCTACTAAACTTACGCCATGATCATAAATGCTAAATCAGTAAAATTCTCTTAATATTTTTGTATACTAGCGTTTACGCTATATATTACTATAAAGACAGATATAACTAAATACTTTAGTTCAACAGTTAATTATTCATAATGTTCTTGAATAAATGGGTTAGGTTATTGTATTAGTAACATATTATAATTAATATAATTTCCTCATTAGTAAATCTTTTTGAGTCCATAAGAATTTATATATAAGCCCTCTAAAATAATAATAACATTATAACATCAAGGAGATACCTTTGCTTTATCAAATATTCTCGTTAAGTATGGTTATTAAATATCCTTTATGAGCCCGTAAAGTTGAACCATTAAAGTCGCTTACATCGGGTTCAAAAAGTTCTGTGTAATTTTCAAATTATACGGCTTTTCTTCGTGAATAGTGGAGTTAATTTTATAACCTCGTATTACCCTTAACATCTGTAATAAGTTAATGCATAATAATAGATGTCGCTTGACTGAAATTTACGTACTGATATAGACTATATTAGTTTAATAAAAATACATTTTATTTTCAGTGCAGCGTCGATAAAGCAGAAAACTCTATAGGAAGATGTTTTTCCGGGCGGAAATCAAACGAATCACAATGCCCTATGTTACAACCACCAAAGACTCCAACCAAACCGATACACACGATCAATCGACCAGCCTCCCAAAATTTAAACCCAGATAGTAATCTAAAAGAACGGCGAAGACCATCTTCAGATAATCAAAAGCAAACTAGTAGAATTCGCTCGTCATTATCTACTTTCGCACAAAAAAGTCACATTGCCAAGGATTTACTTCATCCAGTAAACTCTCCACATCAAAAAAAGCTCAGATTTCATCTAGCTAAGGAGCGGAAAGCATCAACTACTCTTGGCATAATAATGTCAGCGTTCATTGTATGTTGGCTGCCTTTCTTTGTGCTGGCCTTAATTAGGCCGTTTGTCAACGAAGATACAATTCCTGACGCCGTCAGCGCTCTCTTTTTATGGCTGGGGTACTTAAATAGCCTTCTCAACCCAATAATTTACGCGACTCTGAACAGGGATTTTAGGAAGCCGTTCCAAGAAATTCTCTTTTTCCGATGCTCAAATTTAAATCATATGATGCGTGAGGAATTCTACCACAGTCAATATGGGGGGCCAGAACCGCATTATTGTGTGAACAACTCGAAAAATCAGAACTATGACGAGGGTGTAGAGATTGTATCTGCCGTGGACCGAGAAGAAACGAGGGCGACTGAGAGCTTTCTATGATTGTCAATACCCCAGGTCGAGGACCTAGATTCTGTGATCTAATTAAGACTTTGCAAGGTGTCGTGCCGTTAGTATTAAACATGTACCAATCAAACTAGTCGTCATAGTCGGTTTAATATTTCTTTGTATTTTTTACGAAATGGCTCAAACTTTAATACCCCAATAATTGAAAAACTTTGAAAATAGATTTCTAACTTTTTGTGGATTCTCTTTAACCTTGAACGCTCAGGAACAAACTTGGAACTGAATGTTAGGCTATTTAAAGGGGCCAAGGATGAGTTAAAAAATTATCAACCAGTGAAAAGGCGACTTTGTTCTTTTAGAACAGAAATTTGGGTGAAATGATTGATAGCAAACGGCGCAATGTAAATATTTGAACTGACACCCGATTGTTTGACACGCCCATATAGCATACACATTCGTTGCGGGTAGTTTTAGTCACGTCGTTTTCAGCTAAGTTTAGTTAACCCTACATCTTTCAACGTGTAAATATTCGACGTAACCTATATTTTGTGCTGAATATTTTTCAGGTAGCAAATTGTTAACGAATGCTACTTTAGTAGAAGATTTTTACAAATGATTGCCATCTCCATTTCCGTTACTAAGTAGGTACATGAAACATAAAGGGGATTTATCTGCTAGAAATATGATATACAGGTGTCTTCAAAGCAAATCTACGAGCTATTAAGTCTACAAGGCTGTGGGCTTTTTGAAACAAATACTGCATTGTGTTCAAAGCCTTTGAAATCTTACCTATTCCAGGTATACGCCAGCATCGTTTTAGCTCAAGATTTGTAGGTATTTTATCGTGGGACAAATATCTCTTTCTAGTAATAATACACCATGTATAATTACATTTAGTGCTCTATGGTACAAAGAAAAAGTATTACCCGTAGACAAATAATAGAGCAGTGTTGGCCTAGTGGCATCAGCGTGCGAATCTCATCCCTGAGGTCCTAGGTTCGATATGCAGCTGTGCACCAATGGACTTTGTCTATGTGCCCATTAAACACTCGCGTAAATGAAAACCTCGTGAACCTTGCATGCCTTAGTCAAAAAAAGTCGCCAGTGTATCCCAGGCACAGGTGGTTAATCACCTACTTGCCTATTATAATATTAGAAATGATCACCAAACAGATACGGAAATCTGAGGCTTAGACCCAAAGGTCGTAGCGCCACTGGGACCACTAAAACAAACGAAAAAGAAATAAGCTTAAAAGACAAATGACAAATAATTCATAAATATTGGTAACTTTTTATCTCATCCAAAAGTCCAACTTCGATTACGTTATACAGAAATATACCCTCTTATTCATGAAAAAATCAGTCTAATTACACGGTTTTAACAAAAGCACTTTCAATCTCTTTATAATGTAGTGTGAATGCAATGTGAGGGAAAACAAGATAAAACAAAAGAGTATTTTAGATGAAACATTGCAAGCACACAGAGTTTTTATGAATATGGTCGTCAAGTCTCTACGTAAGAAGTGTAAAGCTAAGTAATCGACACTGAAATTCATTGTGAAAATAATTTCATTTAATTAATATTCATCCTTTGGAATTACCTAAAAGTGTAAATGCCCCATCCCAACAGACCATTTTGATACAATGTATAGCCTATTTAATAAGTTTTTTAACCAAGGGATTAAACAACCAGCTTGACCAAAGAGTCTAGCTATAGAAGTGTAACTTGAATTTATTGTACCAAGCATGAGACTTTATTGCTAATGGTAGGGGAGCCCAGAGCTAATGGGGATTTACTGAGCGTCGTAGAGACCTATTGGGATACAAAGCTTAGATAAAAAGAAGAAAAAATGTTATAGATAAATTCCTTTTCATCGTGGGGGAAGCGGCTATAGATAGTTAAATATGTAAAAAAAACTTTGCATGGACATCCTCGGCGTCGAATTGATAGCATCTATCCCCACGTATTTTTAAAGTAGTATGTTAATTGTCTTTCATGTGGGTGGTTGTATTTAAGGTTGAAAATTAAAAAAAAAATTTATCGAGCGGTCAGTTTTCTAAGGAGTATTAAGTGCACCAAAAAAATCTCTCATTCACTAATCTGACGTTTGATGGGACGCAAACCCACAGCTTCTTAATTTGCAAAAAAATCGCAATTTGAAATACTCAAGGGTCAGATTAAGATATATGTTCACTTTACTAAACTACTGTCTCATAATCTGACGATTATCTAGAGGGATTCGCCTGATCTGACAAAAAAATAGAAAACGGTTCACCTAAAGGGCCATCCCTGCAACTTCCCGCTAATTCCATTCCTGGGTTAATTATATTTTGACTCGCTGATTCAAGAAATAAATTTCTATGCATTTGAGCTCTCCCACTCGAAAGTCTGATAGAATTTCATAGAACACTATTTTTGAATTTTCAAACCGCAATAACTTTTGAATGGATCAAGTAATTTTACGCGGTTGGGCATTGACGCAGTTTTATCATTCTCATAATAATTTGCAATTTTAATTGATCGAACCACAAATTTGAGTAATCCCGAAAAACACTTTTTCGGTTTCTTTCATGTACGATATCTCTCGAACGAATCAACCGCTTTTGACCAGCTTGGTGGGTCGACGTGGTTTTTCAAGCCAAGGCGGATTATTTTTGATGATCGATAAAGAAACCACTTAAAAAAATATTTCTTATTTTTTAAGATTTTTCAAAATTTCAAAACTATCGTCCGAATCGGTTCAAATTAAGGAATTAATTTTGAGGGAAATATTTTGAACGCCGTTTAGTAGATTCCGTCGTTTAGGAAATGTAGGCATCAGGTGACGATTTAACTTTATCGACGAATTTTTTATTTCTTGGAAATCGTCAGATAATATTTCATTATCTGGAATTATTTCCTTCAAAATAAAAGAAAAATTAGTACGCTCGAGAATGGAATGACTTTTTTTTACAATTTGTTGCCCTCCCTTTTTTCCGTCACTTCAAATTGTCGATTATGAATATAACTTTTTAGGATTAATTAACTACCCTACCTTAATCTGCGGTCGGGAATTGTTCAATTTTTTTACTAATCTGTCTGTCCTTCACGGGCCTTATATATGGGCCTCATATTTTGTGGAGGTACTTAACCGGGTACAAGGTATCCCCTATAAGTAATTGCGTTTAGTAAATCCCGAAATCCCTCTTGGCCCTCTAACGTATCGTTTGCTATTGTAGAAGATTATAGATGGAGAAAGATTATATCTATTTAATATTTAATTACAAAAATCGTAATTTAAATTAACTAATAAATTTGTGGACATATGTTTCACGAAAAACAATGCACTAGTAAAAATAGTTTCAACAAACAATGATGACCAGTTATAGGTCACATTGTACACACACGATCGCACCCTTTTGATATATTTGTTTATCACGCACAGAATATTGCGTATTAATTTTTAATTAAACACGTGTCACACTCGCGTAAATGGCGTATAAACAAGCGTGTATGAAGATCAGTTTGTTAATTCGATATTTAAATGTATAAAGCATCATTAAAGTAAACTAAAAGTAATATAAGTTGTCGCAAAATAAACGATGTAAGAAATAAATAATTGCAATTTTAAAACTGATATGATAACGATATGGCGTAATAATTCTCATGCTTCGAACATGTATGAATTTATCTTAAGTGATGTGACTGTGTAGCATAAAGTTAGATACATGTGATAGTAGTAATAGTAGTTATTGTTTGTCGATAATTTGTTTAACTTATATTTCAAATTTCATTGTTGATATCTTTTCACTGTGTTCTTCTTGCCTATGTTTCTTCACGTAATTTACCTTTGAAGTAGAAAAAACAGTGTACAAATTTTAATGAATGCAATTGGTACTGCCATATATTGTATACCAGTTTAATATAGTTTCTTGTATGAAAGTTTATTGTAGTTCAATTAATTAAATTGTACAGAAATATTTAATATCCTACGTATTTGCATAAAACTATTTTTATTTCCATATATATTGTACCGTTACATTTTTTTCTTGTTGAATGTGTAAACCTTAAACATTTCATTTATAACAATTAAATTGTATAAACTAAAAATGTAAATAGTGTTACATGTAAGTAGATTAATTATATTATAAGTACATAATATATATTATTAATATACCAGAAACCGTGGGGAAACTACGCTTGAAAAGTTATTTGACAGTTCGATTTGATGTAACTATAATGAAAATATATCTAAATTGGTGTGGTTTCTTTCCGTAGAAATATATAATAAATATATATATAATTCTTTCAGTATTTCTGTAGTTTAGATGTGTTGCCGTGTAAAAACTTTTGTAAATGGCCTCGTATAAAATACTATTAACTATTTTATTTTAATTTGGTATTTTGAAGATAAAATTGAATTCGGATTAAATTTACCGTTAAAAAGTTCTAAGCGCTACAATTCCTCTAAATTATTTACAACCAAAATTTTGATTAAATCTAATTATATAATAACTTAAATGTTTATTCTGTGATGACATTTAGGGAAAATTTGTATAATATTCTTAAATATTCGCTAAAAAACACAAGTACACGTAGTATCACTTCCTAGATAGGGTTAATGAAATCATAATAAATAGATTTGAAAGTTATGCAACTTAGATTTTGAATCTATGGAAAAATCCACAGACTCATAATGTTAATTTACACTTATTTAAGACTATGATTCTGTATAAATGATCAAAATGCAACAAGAAATTGCTTAAGATAACAATGATTTTATCAGATACATCCATTAATCGGATAAACTAATATTTTGGACTTCAATTTGTGTATGTATGTTACTATGAATTTTAAATAACTGTGATTCAGTATTAACTTTTAAGCAGTGACTTTTATATTTCGCACTAGACAAGTATAGAGATTATATAATAAAACCTTACGTACGAAGCTCTAGAAAACCTTAAATCTCTAAACTCAAATTATTGTAGTCTGTCGGCAATATTATTTATTATTTTGTATGTAAAACGATTCTAAAGTGTTGTAAATAAAAATC